CTTTCTTTCTTTCTTTCTTTCTTTCTTTCTTTCTTTCTTTCTTTCTTTCTTTCTTTCTTTCTTTCTTTCTTTCTTTCTTTCTTTCTTTCTTTTAGGCTTATTTCACTGAGCATGATCCCTTCCAGCTCCATCCTTGTTACCAAGAATGGCATGAGTTTATCTTTTTGGTTGCCGAGTAATATTCCATTGTGTATATGTAGCACATCTTCTCGATCAAGTTATCTATTTTTCCCTGCCTTAAATACTTAAAAGAAAATGGGCTTTGCACATTTTTTACATGTTATCAGAGTCTCTTTCCATAACATAGTGACATATAATACATCAAGAAAAGATGGAGCAGTACAAAAGTACTAAATAGTCACTGCTTACCAGACACTGTGACAGGTACTATCTGTTGGGGAGAGCACACAAGGGGTTGATGAGCCAGTAAAGTATTACAAACCTGAACACATGCCTATCTCTTAATAAACCCTCAGCTACTCAAAACAACTGCCATAAAATAACTATTGACTTCTACTTTATAGTCAATCCCATTGAAACATTTTGTTTTTAATATTAATGTGTGTGGGTGAATTACTCTCTTCCATGGATAATGGCAGAATAAATGGATAAAATCAAGATGGAGAATGTATATGAAGAACTTAAAGTGTCTTGTGACATCCAGCCCCACCTTCATACATTCAGAATTCTTTGAAAGATTTATTTATTTATGCACACAGAACTATGGTGCAGGCCAGAGGTGCAAGGACAGTGAGAGGATTTACCAGAGACAGAGTGGGGAGCAGAGCAGGCAGATCGATGAAGTACACTGCTGAGGGGAGCAGCAGGAGAGACAGGAGAGGTCTGCTGGGCCCTATGTGGGTCACCTCTGGGATGGGGATCGAACTCACACTGACACGGCTGCAGCTAGCTTGTAGTGCTGAACTTTAACACGCTGCACCACCAGGGAGAGCTGTCATTCAGAATTTTACCCCAAAGGAATATTTATGAGAATGTGCAAATATTTAGCTGTTGCAGCAATGGTTATGATAGTGAAAATGTAAGGGCAATTTAAAAGTTCAAACAGAACATTGGTTACATAAATTATGCAAATACCACTCAAGAATATTTAATAACTTGAAGGCATTTTCATATTAAAGGAAATAAACAAGTTACAGTTATAAATCCAACTTTTGTGCACATACAAAAAAAAATAAACCTTGAAGGACATTCACCAATATATTATTATTAGTTATCTCTGGGTGGTGAAATTATGGGGAGATCTTTTGGTTTTCTTCTCTGACCTATATTATTTAAAAAGGTATGAATTATTTATGTGTTACAAAGGAGGCAACAAAATGTATTTATTTAAAAATAACTAATTCTATTTCCAGTATTTTCTTAAGTAAACCTTGGCCATATCTCTAATATTTCTTTTTGTCTCCTTCCTTTTCCTCACTGGAGCTGATGTAACATTATTCCAAGGTCTACTATATAATCCCTAAGATGTCTGTCATATGTGAATATTCAATATCTATTGGGAAATAATGCAAAGATTCAATAGCTATTGGGAGATAATGCATTATTTATATGTGCAGTTTTAAGTATCATTGTGAGCTTGTAAAATGATGTAAAAATTCTAGCTTAGAATTGAATACATGTCAGGGTTAATTAGCAATACTTCAAATTATAAACAACTAACCATCAATTAACTATGCTAATGAGAAAAGCAGGAAGTGATTGTGGGGGAAAATTAAATCAGCATGGATAAAAAAGAAAAACAACTCAGCCATCAGTTGTCAGAACTTACTAGAATTGGTTTATAAGTATAAATTGTAATCTCGTTTTGAAAGAGAAGGGATAGGATATTAACAAGAAATTAATTCTTTATAAGGGCTTTTCTTTCTAAATTGTCCTTCAGGGAAACAATATTCAAATAATCAAATGACCAAAATACAAGCAGCCGGAAACTTAGAGGCAAAAAGCTTGTCAGTGATTCTAATGTTACAATCCTTAGGGGAGCTTTTTAGAAAAAGATCAGTGCTGATTCCTTGCTCCAGACCATTTCAATCAGAATCTCTGTGGACGGGGCTAAATTAATCCAAAAAATGCATAGTTGTTTCAGTTGGTTCTCACCAACTTTGTATTTGCATTACTCTGAGATCTCTGTTTAGGCAGGAGGTAAGAGCTTCAGGGAAATCATCTTTGGTTCTGTACCCTACCCCCACCTCTGCACTACCAGGAAGGAAAACCATTCCAGTGAGGCTGTTTTTGTTTTTGTTTTTGTTTTAAGATTTATTTATTTATGCATACAGAACTGGGGTTTAGGCCAGAGGTGCAGGGCGGCGAGAGGCTTCACCAGAGACAGAGTGGGGAGCAGAACAGGCAGATCAACGAAGTACACTGCTGAGGGGAGCAGCAGGCGGGTCAGGAGAGGTCTGCCGCGCCATGTGGATCAGCTCTGGGGCAGGCAGAGATCCAACTAAAGCTGAAGTGGCTTTAGCTTCTTAGTGCTGTGCTTTAACCCGCTGTGCCACCAGGAAGGGCCCTCCAGTGAGGCTGTTTTTAAGGTGACTCCTTCTGATCCATTATCTTCAAATACCTTCCTAATAATGCTTTTCTCTTTCAGCAGGTTGAGTGATTTTCCCTAAAGGAGAGCATTTGTGAGGGCCTTCAAGGTACCTATGCATTAGCCACACAGTGTGTCTGACAGCGATCTGGACATAAAAGCAATGAAAACTGGCCACTGAGTGGAAGTTACAACCCCACATCCAGGCTCCTGAAATTGTGTTGGGTTCTGTGTGTTCTGTAGCCCAACACCCCCACCCCCACCCCCCAAAAAAACAAACAGAAGTTCTGTAGCTGCACTTCTTTCCCTCTTTCCTAGATTCCACTTTTACAACTAAAAAAAAAGTTTATATGCTTACTGTAAAAAGTGTTGAAGTGGAAGAATTACAAATAGCAAAGTTAAAATCAAAATTAAATTTGAAGGAATCGTGAGTATTCCTTGTGCCCATTCCAGCGATAGACATTATTAGTGTATATTTTACATTGCTTAATGTGTACTAGCATATATTTTGTCTTCCAGAATTGGGTTATTCTACTTGCACACATTTGTAATTTGTTTTCTAATCTTAACCTTAGGTTCTGTCACTTCAGTGACATAAAATCTACAGTTTCTGTGTATATAGCAAATCCATGATATAAGTTAACTGTCATTTATTTAACTATCTTCCTATTGATTATGACTTCTGACATTTGCCTTGCTTATCCTTTTTCCACTATTTATCAGAAAGTATGTGTTCAACCTGGTGAACTCATACAGATCACTCTTCTTGACATTGACATTGTATAAAATAATATACCAGCTTTGCACATACTTTTCCTCTCTTCCTGCTGTGTTCACCAATGTTTGTACCCAATACTTACCCCAGAAGTATTGTTTTTCCTCCTCAAAAATTCTGAAGTTTATTCACCTTAGAAAAATGTATGAATGGAAAAGTCAGCATGTTAGTAGCTAGATTAATCTACATTGTTTTCTGTGTCTGCTATGCTGAGAGATTTGTACTTATTTTTTTTCCCAGTTAACCATTAGAATAATAATACAAGGTAATGTTACTATTATCCCTACTTACCGGCAAAGAAAATGAGGCTTCTTTGGTGTAACTTGCTCAACACCACATGTAGTATGATGCAAAGCTGAAACTAACTTTTTCATAATTATTAACAAAGTTCCCTGGATTTAGTCAGCTCTTCTTAGTTTTTGCCTAATATAATTTTTCTGTCCCTGGGTCCCCTCCAGGACACAAGATTAGATTTAGCTGTCATGTCTTCTTAGATTCCTCTTAGCTGTGGCAGTTTCCCAGTTTTTCCTTATTTTCTTTAAATATTTTTCTTCCTCTTCTAAAAAATACTGTTACCTCTCATCCTCTGTAACATCATATATCCACTAATTTGCTGACTACTGTGTTGAGTGCCTCTGATCTTTGCAGTAACTGCTCAAAATAGATATTATAATTCTCATTTTGAGATGTGACAACAAGGTTCAGAGAGAAGAAAACTAATGGTCCAGGTTTCAAATCTTGCGAGTGATGGAGTGGGGATTCTAAGCTAGGACTGTATGAATGTGAGGAGCATATTCTTTTTATCACTCTAGTTTGGATGATTTATTTACATGCATTTTGAAAAAAATAAATGTGTTCTACTACAGAGTCAGCTTATCATAAAGAAGTTCGAGAGCTGACCCAACTCTCCTAAGAGCCAAGTTTCCTTACCAAAATGTTTCTAAGCCCATGGTCAGAAGGTCACTTCACTATTTCTCAAAGCAGTCACTAAATGTGAACAATTCTGATCATTAGAAAGAGGGACCACCAGGGGGAAGGTAAAGAAAAAAAAAGATTCTAGAACCCTCCAAATGAGTTTTGTCTTTTGGTCTGAGGGAAACTCTTAGGAACCAAACACAATTATCTAAATTCTTTACCTGGAGGCCACAGTGGTCACCAAGTCTCCTCTTGCCTCTCTTTTCCTGGCAGAGCATGGCATCATTGGAACTGCCTTAAAGCTCAGTTCCTTTCAGAGTCTCTAGTTACAAGTCTTTATTGTGTCCATGCCTGTGCAATAGAGTTCAGTGATTGCTGTTAAGGTCTGTTCACTTGCTGGCAATGACTTGATACACAGTCGCTGCTTTTAAACTCACTCCCCCCCACCCCCCACTACATTTCTAAATCAAGTCTGACACTGACACCTCTTTCCACCCTTTAAATGAAGGTGGGGGTGGAGCTCCCCTTAGAAAATCCCTTGAGACTCATTTTGGAAGGTTAAACTAGATGTTTATTTGGAGTTTGGCAAGTTAAGGGGAATGGCAGTGAACCACAGACAACCCCAGAGTGTGTCTTTCTAAATCCCCCACCAGACTGAGGCAGACAATAGCTGTCCTGTGGATCAGCGAGGACAGAGTGCTGGGCGGGGCAGGGACCGACGCACCAAGAGCGGGTTGGGCTTCAAGCGCTGATGTGGCTGAGAGCCCGGTCCCGGCTTGGGGACTGCTGGGCGACAGCAAGGCGCCACCAGCAGCCTCGCCAGCCGGCCTCGCGTCCGCCCCATTGACAGCTACTCAGAAAACCATAGAAGCGGGCGAAGGAGTGTCAGAAACCTTCGCAGAGTAGTTGCTGAAAAAGTTCTCTTAAGTGTTCCTTGCGAGCCCGAGCCTGAGCTTTGTGGTCAATACCATGGACAGCGCTCGAGAACCCACGCAGCAGCACCTGGATGCCGCGGGCTTCTGGCAGGTCTGGCTGCACTTTGATGCAAATGGTGAGTTGAAGGAGCCGCCTGCACATTAGGGTGTAGAAAAGGCTTTGCACCTGGTTCTTAGGAAAGGAGCTAAGGTGTCCCCTTCCCCCTTTCCCGCTGGAAAGTTGTTTCCAGCGTTGTTAATACGACATGCTGAACAGGCATTGGACATTCGGTTACACAGTTGGATACTTGTGAAGTTCAGAGTGGGAATGAGGTCCCACCTTCCCAAACTCTGTGTGCATGTGGGATGTGTGTGTGTGTGTGTGTGTGTGAGAGAGAGAGAGAGAGAGAGGGAGAGAGAGTCAGTGTCTATATTATGACAAACATAATTTTATGTATTTGAGGCGTGTGGGCTGATCCTCAGTTATCTGAAGTAATGAGTCAGCTCATTTTTACTATGATTTGTTGAACAACCCACACACTTTCAAAGGGAGAGGGAGGATGAATTTGATCAACTTCCAAAAAAACACTACTCCCCCCAAAAAACTGCTTGAAGAGAAAAGGAACTACTTCGCATTGTCATTGATTTTAATCAATAATTAAACAAACACAAAGAAAACATTGAAAATGTATTATAATTCTGCAGACTAATATTCAAATTTATATTGGTAAAAATTATCCAAGCTTGGGTTTCTTTTGGGTTGGATTTTTTTCTAAAAGTCTTGTTTAATTGTGGATTAAAATTCTTGTATATTTCATGGATTCCTTTCCCAAATTTTCCTATGGCCCTGGCACAAAGGATTGAAGATGTGTTTACTATTCCAATCCCTACTTCCATAGGTAGATGCTGGAATTAGCTACTGCAATAGCAAGTAATAGGATCATGGGGACTTTATAAATGATCAAATTAAAAGTAAATTGTAATAAATACTAAATGTCATGTTATTTTATACACCGTGACGATAATACATACATATCTTATTGCCTTCAGAAAAAGGTTACATAGAAGAGAAGGATCTTGATGCTTTCTTTCGCCTCTTGTTGACAAAACTGAATGCTGATGTAAGTAGTTGTGCTCTTAAGCATTATTTTATGTGTCTCTTAGTGAAGTACAAGGAGTCTCCAGGTATTGTGTTGATTTGTACCTATTAATTCCATCTAACCTCCTTTTTTCATTGCATGCATTTAATTTTTCTCCCTCTCCTAGCAACAGGAAAGATTTAGGCATAAAATGTTCAATGGTATCATTTAACATGTTGGTCATTGACTTTCACTGTAACATCTGTCATCCACTTAGAGATCCGAAGTGTCGACTCAGACAACTCTATTTTGAAGGTCTCCTTGGTTATGTCTTGGCTAATGGATTTAAGCCTGGTGATCAGGTAGCCCACTTGCTCATAAAAGTGGAAAAGATCTTAGGGTCTTGGGTGTTTAGTGCATTTGACACACCTTTGATAGCAGAGTACAAAGTAATCATTTAAAATCATTTCCCCCATGATTCATTTTTATTAGACGAGGTTACAGATTTCTCAGTGAATGACAAGCCAAAAAATAACCAACCTACCTGGAGCTCAGGCATAAATGTAAGTCAATCTATCTAGAGTCCATGTTCCTCCTTGATGGTAGAAATCTGGTCTTGAAAGATGTAGATTTACCTTTGAACATCCCTGTAGCAAAGCAGGGGAAAATCTCATAGAAATTCACCAACTGGACTTGGAAGACCCATCAGGGAATGCACGGCAAGGGGAGCAGGTCTCGCTACAGTACAATTTCCAGTAACTTATCCTCAGGTACAAAGTTTACATGGAAGAATATTGACGTGCATCACACTTTTAAGTAGGAGCCTGAAGAGGGGAACAAGGAACTCTGTAGCACCAAGGAGAACCAGAGGATGAAGAGCGGATAGCTCTGAGAAAGGTTGCCAGCTCCTGCAACAGTTTCATGGACCACTTGGTCTCTCTTTGCCAGCTACATCTCATATTGTGTTTCTTTTGTTTTTTTGCCTATTTCTGTTTATCATCCCCGTGTTTCAAGCATCCCCGTGTTTCAAGCTCTCTTTTCACAGCATCGCTTGACTTTCCTGCTTGGCCTCTTTGGGGTTCATCTCTCTCAGCTCTCTGATCTCTGTCCGTTTCTTACCTGTCACTCCACCAGCCCCTAACTCCTGAGTTGTTGCTTCTCTCTCTTTTTTTTTTTTTAAAGATTTATTTATTTATTCATACAGAACTGGGTACAGGCCAGAGATGTGGAGGGTGAGAGGATTCACCAGGAACAGAGTGGGGAGCAGAACAGGCAGATCGACGAAGTACACTGCTGAGGGGAGCAGCGGGCGGGTCAGGAGAGGTCTGCCGCGCCATGTGGTCACCTCTGGGGCAGGCGGGAATCGAACTCATGTGGAACTGGTTTAAGCTTCTTACAGCAGTGCTTTAACCCGTTGCGCCACCAGGGAGGGCCTTCTCTCTCTTTTTATCTCTGGTCATCCTGTTTCTCAGAGCTCTCTCACTGTCCTTTCTCTCCATGCCTTCTACTTCTTTCTCTGTCTCTGTCTCTTCTCCCTTGGCCCTTCATTTCTTTCCTTTGATCATTTCCCCACCTCTCCTCTCCTCTTTGCATCCGTTATCTTCCCTTCCTTTATCTTTCTTTACCTTGCCCCCACTGACTGCTGTGATTGTGAAGGCACATGGCATTCTGGAACCCATGAATCAAATGCCATTTTGTCAAACATGTCAGGAGTATTTGAGAAAAAAAAAAAAGATAAAAGCAGAACTATCCAAAGACTTGGAATAAACTGGGCGATAAACAAAAACTGAAATCCCCAGATTCTGGGGATTTCTACTGGGCGCAGAGTAGACAAGGGGGCTGCGGAGCCAGGAGGCTGGCAGGCCTCCCAGAACCCCACAGAATCTGTAGGCTCTTAGGGCTCTCTCTGGCTTTAACTCGTGGTCCTGCCTCTCTCGTCACTCGTCCTCTCTCATCTATTCTGCCCTAGCTGATTTGTGTGTGGAACTGCCCTCAACCTCATCCATCGGGCTCAGGTGTGCACACTCACTCATGCCCACACCCTACTCCATCTTTCCAGGATGGTCATGCAAGCCCCCTGCCCACACTCCCCAGCGCCTCCCGCATTCAAGGTTGCAAGTGATAGCCAGAGGCCAGAGTTGTGAAAGCTTGACCATATCACTTATCCTACACATATAAACTGTTAACTGGATGTGGTATCAGCTGCCCTTGTGATTATTCAAAATGCTGAGACCTTATCCTTGGGAGCTTTTCAGGACACCCTATTCTACCTGAGCAGCCATGTTTAAGAGATTGGCCCCCATCTGGCCTATTTCCTGGCTGAGAAATGAGTAGGCCCTAAGTGTTTAGGATGTCAAAGTGAAAGACACTTCAGCGGGGATACTGCCTCTGGTGTGCCGCCCAGTTTTAATCAGTGCCCGAGGAGTGGAGAATTAACAGCAAGGAAGCTTCCCCCATCCCACCCTGGTGACCAGCAGGCCCTCACTTTGGTGAGCAGGATTGGCAAGTAGTTCTCAGAGGCCTGAATAGCTCTAATTTCCTCCCCTGATTAGCAGGCCCCTGAAAACCCGGAAGAAGGAATTTTAAGGTTTTTACAGCCAGTGCCTGTGGTTAGTCTCCGAGCAGTCAGATTGCGGGTAATTACCTGCTCCTCCCAGCTCTGAGGGGATTGACTTAATAGAACCATCAGCTGTTCTTTCTGCTGCTGTTACTCACCTCCCTCCCCCTTCAGTTCCCGGCCTTTTCCTTTTCAAATGCTAATCTTTGGGCTCTGACCAGGTCTGCATCTGCGGGGCTGTCCCTGCGCTTGAATTTCTGTGCCTGCTAAAGGCCTTTAGCGTGCAGGTCACATCTCATCCTGGGCCTGTTGCAGAGATGGTTAAGCCCCCTGCTCCAGCCTTACATAGGTGGGCAAGGTTGATGCTTATGGAAAATTATGAGAGAGCCCTAAACTCTTTTTCTTCAGGTCTAAGGATTAATCATAGACATTGAGTCAAAATTCAAGTTTCTGTGTCTTCCAAATAAAGATGGCATGTAGAATCCATCTAGGGCTCCTTTGACTGCAAACTTCTGTTACTTTGAAATCTAATTTTCCACTGATATAGTCTAAGTTTGTTAACTTCCTTTGGGAATGCCCGACCCGACACAAAGAATCACTTATTCATTCCACATATAATATATTTAAGACACAGAAATGACTGCTGCCCTAGGGGATCTTTTATTTGAGAAGTCCAACTTGTTGAGTGATTTCCATCATGCTTTTTCTGCGTGGTGCCTGTTCCACCCATACACCGGATCACAAATATACACGGTCTTTGGTGCCAAGACCAGCAAGGCTAATCTCTATATTTAGTGGGTGGTCAAATGAGGAAACCCAGTTGGATGAATAGCCTGATGGTTCTGAGGAGAATGAGCATGACTGTTCAAGTCTGGAGACTCAGAATCAGACACTGAGTACATGTGACTTACAAGCCCTGCTTCAGAATTCATTCTCCATTCCTTGATGGAAGGTGTCATCTTTCCCTGAAATAACCCTGCAGTTCCCTCATGAAAAGCAGTGTAATATGGGGAAAAGTTGTAGATGAAGGGAGATGGCATATTCAATAATTGCTTTATTACTTTGGTTTCTCTTAACTATTTTCCCCTTTGAGCTATTTTTTTTCCTCAAAAATTCCAAGGAGATTAAGAAAATGAGTTATGGCAAACTAGGGGACCTAAGAGACCTGAACTTTTCAGTTAAAAATGGAACCAAACCTCTGAGTTCTTGGGGGGAAAAGTCTGTATATCCATGATAAATAAATAATATATAGATATATGTAGTTATATAGAAAGAGATATACAGATATAGATAGATATATTTAGATAGCTAATGTCTATATATTCTAATTATAGGTATATAGATTATATACATATCCATGATAACAATAATAGCTATGTAGTATATCTGTATATCATATATACTATATCTATAATAACAGTATCTATCTTATCTATATATATCTATCTGTATCTACCTACCTATATCTACCTACAGATATATATTATATAAAGAACACAGTTTTTGTCCCAGAAAAAAATGCATAGTGATGTTCAAATTGTTTCTTTCAACACTCTAAGTCTCTAAATGTCTCGTCATTCACATTTTAGGAGCTCACTAGTTGTAAATCTTACCTAGTCAGGATTCTGATTACTGGTTGTTTTGCTATCAAGTCCCCATCACTCTTCTCTCTTCTACAACAGCTTTAAATAGCTAAGTAATGTGCTTTCCAGGTTAGACTGACAAACATAGGTCTACATACTTTGAATATTTGATGTCTCAACTCCATGTTGGAATCCCAGTGGCTTTCAGGTGACTCTTTCTGGCCCTTTGTAGGAAGCAGTCATGGAAGAAAATGCACAGAAGTTGAAACAGCAATTTATGGCTACCCACCGTGTCGCTGAAGATGGCCGCATACAGATGCAAGAGGTACCCTTCACTACCATGCCTTTCTTGCCTCTTCTCTTGGGCTAGAATTTCCTTTGAAAGATGATGAAAATCTTAAATTTCATGGTTATTTGACCCAGATAATGTTTTTAAAGTGATCAACTCTCCTTTTTCATCTGCTTAGTAATAAAGAGCATATGGTTCTTCCATCATTTTATTCAGGTCAGTCAATATCTATGTTTATTTTATAGAGAACTGATACACAGGAGGCCTTTCAGTTATTTGATCCAACATTTATCTCTGCACACTGTCCTGTTCAAATTGAACCTTGATGTAAGAAACGACTTACTGACAGTAAATGAATTTCGACTTCAGCATCAGCTCCCAGTGGAGGTTGGAAAGATCACTAAACACAAAGCATTCAGGAGCTGTCTTTATTTACAATGAGCAACTGGAAGGAACATATGGAACGTGCAGTACCTTGCATAGTGTATCTGTAACCTGAACATACCTTTTTCTTCTAGAGACAAAGAAGTATAGAGTAGAGAAAGGATTTCTATCCCCCCAATATAACTGTAGAAGAAAGACATGGGATATTATCCCTATTTTATTGATGACAAAACTGAGGTAATTTCCAAGCACCGTGTGGCCAGTATGTGGTGTTGGTATAAGTGTAACTCCTCTGTGGGTTTGAACCTGTCTATGTTCATAGCATACAGTTAGTCATCTATACAGAAACTCATTAATCTGAAACCAAGATGTTCACTCCATAGTAAAACTGCCTTCTAGACAGATTACCTGGAACCTGGAGAACTGGTGGTCTTGACGACCTCATACTTAGACAGTGAATATTAATGAAAGCATTTTTCTTCAGTTATGTAAGTTACAAGAACTGTCACTAAGAAGCTGCTTTTTTAGCAAGCCAATAAACTAAGCCCTTATTTTGAATGTAGTTGTTGACAAATTTTTATTCAAAGGCAAAAATTATATCTGTAACCAACAATTATAACAGAATTTCATGCATTATAGTTCATACAAAAATGGAAAAGTAAGCAGTAGCCTCAAGTTAGAAATTCCCACAACAGTCAAGACTACATGTTCGTTGTTATATTGTCTAGCCCCCAGAATCTGACAGAAAGTATTTAGCAAATATTATTAAATATTTATTTAGCAAAATATAAATATTTACTATTTGCTGACTTTATAAAGGAATGAATGACATATGGTGAATAACTAAGCGCTCCACCATTATCTTACTAATAACAGGTACACCTTCCTGAAGCCATTGAGACCTCGGCAATAGCTGATATCCAAGCTATTGTCATGGAGTCCTGCAAATGAACATACTTAGGTTGTTGTTTGTAGGGAAGCTGGCAGGATAGGAATGTATCATTCTAAGTCTCCTTGAAGCTGCCTGAGCCTGTGAGCTGAAGGAGTAGTCAAATTCTAGGCACAATGAACTATTTCACTTTCTCCATTTATAGGTGGTAACATAACACTCAGTTCACCTTAATCCATTTTAGATATTTTCACAAAAGATGGGGAAGCAATTACAACTGAGAACCAAACTGAGTTTATGGGATGGTCTGTGTATTTGATTTGTTTGTGTCTTTCCAATCAAAACTGAGGACAGTGTGGGATCTAAACATTTCGGACCAATGAGTTGCTTTGTAATTTGATTACTTAGCCTGTGACATTCCATATGAGAAAACACGTAGTCCTGGAGAACATTTCACATTCCTTGCATGGGTGGAAAACATAATCCTTTGGTATGGTATAAAAACTTGGCCAAATTGTATAATCTGTCTGAGTCTCCATTCATCCTCTTCATCAACAGAGCAGTTACCATTTACTGAGTGTTTAATATGTACTAGGAACATCGCTAAACATTTAACAGGTAGTTCCTCATTTTACTTTTAGTCTTCATGTGAGCACCAGCATATCATAGCTATCATCTGCATGCTGCAAATGCAGAATCGAGGCACATGATCAAATAATAGGCAAGTACCAGGGAAGGAATTTAGATCTGTTATAGGGCTGAAGGAGGGGCACCCTGGGACCCCCAAACCAGTCTGCTTTAAATAGGTTCTCCCATCTGCCACATATAGACAAATATACTCTTAGTATGTAAGATCTCCAATAAAAAGAAGTTTAATAAAATTAGTGTGTGATATAGCTAGAAGAGAAAGAATAGAGTTAAAGTAGTTTCCCCATGAAGCAACTAAAGTTACCTATTCCCTTGTGGGTAAATGCCCAACCAAACAGGGTTGGCCCAAAGCAGGGTTGTGACCTACTTGCTATCTGTAAATCACAGCAGAGAATTCTTTGACCACCGACAGATAGCTCATATCACGAGGCAGGCCCTGGGAAGCTTAAACCGCTGTTGACCTGATTAGGTAGGTGACTGACTCCATGGTGGTCTTGGGTTAACTCTGCCTGTGTTAACATCATACTTTGCTGTCGCAAATGGCTCTTGATGTATGGTCACAATCTCCCCTTCCTTGTCCCTTGTGAAACTTTGTCCCCCATTCCTATCCCACCCTCTTATTCCACATTCCACTGTCACATGGCCAGCGTTTGCTAGCCTGTGCTCTTTGAATAAATGGCGCAAAACTTGCACACAAGCAGCAGAGTCTGGCCTTGCAAACCTGCTCCATGTCTGCCGTGTCCTTATCACATTCTCACCTCAAAGTGACAACCAAGTTCCTGCCGCAACACAGTGCCACTGAGGCCCGAAAGCTTGCCACAAGTCTAAGGCATCTTCTGGTGGGGACCCTCAAATAAGGGGCAGAAGGGGCCAGAAAAGTATGGGATGAAAGGAGCAAAGTCAAATGCATATATAGGCCAAGGCTGCCATTGTCAGCCTCCCTGCAGGTCTCTCACCCACATTCTGTCTCGTTCAAGTGTCTCCTCCCAGTCTTCCAAGTCTCTGGTACAAGCCCAGGGCCAAGAAGCAAGTGCACCGTCTTCACAAGTCTCTCTGCTCCGTGTGCCTTCTCCAGGGCTTCTTGATCCCTTTCCTTCCTTCTCTCTGTCTTCTCTAACTTCTCCCTGCTGAGCGCTTCCCTTCCTTGTATGGCACAGGGAAACTGGAACCTACCTTTTTTATGGATATCACAGTGGCACAGATCCCCACTAAAGCCTATCACTTACCTGCCTCCTGTTAGGAAAAGGAGACCATTAGTAGAGTTTATTTACCCGAAGGATTGGCATGAGAATTAAGTGAGATGCTAAATAAAACACAATGCCAATGCCAGCCAGGTAGAAGGTAGTCAGTGTCTGACAGCGATTTTTATTCATGTTTGGTGTCCTTGAGATGACCCAAATCCAGTGAGATTATTTTTTTTTAAGATTTATTTATTTATTCGTACAGAACTGGGGTACAGGCAGAGATGCGGAGGGTGAGAGGCTTCACCAGAGTCAGAGCAGGGAGCAGAACAGGCAGATCAACGAAGTACACTGCTGAGGGGAGCAGCGGGCAGGTCAGGAGAGGCCTGCCACGCCATGTGGACTCTTACGGGGCAGGCGGGGATCGAACTCATGCGGAAGTGGCTTAAGCTTCTTAGTGCTGTGCTTTAACCCGCTGCGCCACCAGGGAGGGCCCCCAGTGAGATTATTATTGGGAGAGTGAGCTAATCTCCCTTACCATTTGCCAGGTATTGCTCTGGACTCATTTTGTGTATTGCAAAAGATGTTGAGAACTACCTGGCTATAGAAGAAAGGGTCATTGCTCAGGGAAGCCAATTTGGAAAGCAAGTAGTATATACTGCAGTGTCCCAGGCTTGGCGGTGAACCCAAGCACAATTGTGGCCAAGCACAATTACATGCTGAATCAAGTGTTAGAATCACATAGGGGAAGAAGATATTCCCTATGTTCCTATGAGTGAGGGAAGTAAATCAATAGACATTGCTCACATAGAAAGCTGGATGTTTGAATTGAACCCACTAGTACAGCCTAGAGACACAAACAATGTAAAAGAATAAAAATAGTCAACACTCAAGAATCAAGTCAGGCAACCATCATTCCTGCTTTTGTATATAGCAACAGAGTAAACTACTTTATTGTATTCAACATATATACCACAGAGGTTAAAAGTGTGGCCTTAGATGAAGTCCTGACCCCCCATTTAATAACTCCATAACAAAGCAAATTCCTTTTCTCTGTGTAGCCTAGTTCTTTAGCTAATGAGCAGTGAGAATAATGGGGTATCACGTATTTGATAAGTTGTTATTAGGATGAAGTGATAGGTAAGAATTTAGAACAATGAATTCATGGCACATGTCAGAACTACTTGCTATTTTTATTTTCTATTATAACTGTAGAGTTAATTTAATATTGGAGACTTGGAACGCTAGTTACTAATACTAACACATGTATTCTTTAGGATTATTAGATTGTAAGCTCATGGAAGGCAGATAGTATTTCATATCTAATGGGGATACAATACTCTTTGAAAGAATCAATGAAACAAAAATGATAATAAAGAGCATAGAACTGCAATCTGGGCTCCCCATCCTCGACCTCCCAAACCCTTTCTGACTTATAATATATGACATTGTGCCTTTAGCCCAGCGAGCACTGACTAGTGTTGACTATTTCTCTATTTTTGCTATTAATGCTTTGTCTTAATGTACAGTCTTTATTTTAGAGTTTCAGTTGAATATAACAGCATAATTTCTCCCTCCTGGTAAACTATGACTCTAGGAAGTAAGCCTATCAGACTATCATTAGACCAATGAAAAATTATCCTTGTTGCAGAAAGAACTATTCCCATTCAACAAATTATCATTTGAGCACTTTCATGTGCCAGAGACTTAGTATAGTATGAAAGATGATAAGTTCAATGAAGACATAGAAAACAAGAAGAGGATAAGGAGTGTCTGGAAGTCCAGTGTTAATCAAGGAGCCAGAGAACACCTCATTGAGGTGACTTTCGAATAAAGACTCAAGGAAGAGGTACTGTACCATGAAGCTACTTCTTCTCCCCATTTCTTTAGGTAGCCAGCCTGTTCTTATCTGAGGATGAAAACTTTCTCCTGTTCTTCCGCCAAGAATCCCCCTTGGACAGCAGCGTAGAGTTTATGCAGGTAAGTGTTTGGCTGTGTCTCTATGGAGGATGAGGGTTAAGCAGAGACCAGGATCCGGGGCACCAGTTACAGCAGCCACCACCCCTGCCCAGCTACCTAATGTGCCCCTCAGCTGACAAACTCCTGTGCCCCAGACTAGAGGAAAGTTTATACAGGCCCAGGCAGTTATGCTGTCTAAGGAATGTGGTGGGTGGAGCCAGGGGGAAACTCAGCACATGCCCCCGGAAGCCCTGGGGATCTAATGAGCAGCTGCTTCTGAGAATGCTGTCTAGACATCGAGACTCCATGTGGAACTTCTTTAAATGTCGACTCATTCTCATTTTGAAGGCACCGTACAGCCCAACATGACTTATCAAATTTCAGATCCAGGCAGCAGATCTGTTCGCAATGATTGTATTTGAGTAAAAGCTAAAGGTTGAATCAATGAGTCTTCTTATCTCCTCTTCTATCCTCCAGGTTTTACTATCTGTAGGTGAAAAAATACCCAGGAAGATAGAGCAGTGTTTCTCCAGGGCCAGAGAGGCCAAATTAAGAGATAGATAGTGCCTGCAGGGTCCCTTTCTAGAAACTGTTATCAAATCCTGATTTAGGAGATAGTCACTTAGCAACTTTCTGCACTAAATATTTATTTACCTCAGGACACTTGGAAGTCATCTACTCAGAGTGAACAGTGACGAAATTTGAATGAGTAATATGTATGTGCTGATAATCAAAGAGATGCAAATTATAAACAAGTAATTTTGATCTAAGTGGTGCCAGGGTGCAAAGGAAATCACCCCACATGTCTTGCGTTCTCAGGCTAGAGGAGTAATTGAGCTAGCAATCAGACAGTTAGCAAAGTAAAAGCAGTCAATTTATTAACATACATTTGTGATGATGAATGCTTAAACCAATAAAAGGAAACAAAGCTTGAGGAAAAGGCAGCAGACTCCTTCCTGACTGAAAGACCACTGTAGGTCTGCTCTTTGGGAGAGGGTGGGGATATTTATCCAGTAACAATGCAGTATGGGAGGGAGAGGAGAATGGGCAACAGTCTGCCTCTCATTCTTGTGACATAAGCCCCTGGAGAGTTTTGGGGGAGATTTAGGTTGGCGCCAGCTTGCTCTCACTGTCCTCTGGTGGGGCAGAGTGACAAATGCTTCATTTCTATATCATATGCAGAATTTACAGGATTGTAAATTATAAAGAATATGGAGCAGATGAGGAATGTTTATCCTGCATTTGGGGACTTGAAGCATCAAGAATAGAGGGGTGGAGATGTCACCTGCCAGGCAGGATATCACCTGACAGACACCCCTCTCATCACTAGCCTGAGAGTAAAGATAAGGGTCTTAGATGGTGAAGGGGTGTTTACTGATAAACCTGGGGGACACTTGGTTGCTTTTCCAGTGAGGGAAAGGGCAGGTGCTTAAAAGGAGGACAATCTCTTTGATTAAGGAAAGGTGAAAGACTTAAGCAAGAATAGAATCTTCTAGGCTTGGGGGCCTTACTATCGGCTGAAAACAATCTACATTTTTAAAAGTAATGGTCATAGACCTCCCTCAGGAGGCTCACTCAGCTTTTTTTGGTCTCACATTCACAGAGCTTGTAGGGAAGCCCTGAGATTGCTGCTCAGACGCTGTCACTGTGATGCACAGTGGAGTAATTTTATGGAAAGCAATTTTGCAAAAATGTAAATGGGATATTTTAAAATTATATTTTCTAGAGTTAATTAAAAAATCTTTAGCCTTTTACTTAATCCTGCGTCTCCAGGCATCTATCTCAAGCACATAATGAGAGAGGTACGCAAACTTTTATACAAGGTTCATTCAACATTGCAGTGTTACTTCTAGTTAAAACCAAAAATAAATGTTTAACAATGCAGGAAACATTAGTTGAATCCTGAGAAATTCATCCTTCATTCATTCCACAAATATTTCCAAGCACTTGCATTGAAGTGTGCTGGGGGCTGTTCTAAGCGATGGAAGCTGAGAGTAGAAAATTTAGGACGGAGGGATTCCAAGACCCGAAACTGGAGGTGAGGTTGGACGTGACTAACAGAGTGGTTAAACCAGCCATAGTGAAAAATCCTCAGGCCCCAACAGTTATACCAAGAATAGGATTCTATGGAAAGTATCCAGAGGTTCTGACCAGGGGTGGGGTATGGAGATTGAGGTCCACTGTGGAGAACCACCAGACCTTGCAAATCAACCTGGTTACACTTAGAAGTGATTCATTTACAATAGTTATTCCAAAAAGGAATAGATGCTGCTCTGCAGCCCATGATTGTGCTGGAACACACAATTCACCTGTCCTTTAAAATGTCCCCTTTGCCTGCCTGTGTCTGTGCGAACAGCTTCCTCTCCTGGGCAGACTTGCTGTGTGCCGCTGAAACAGGAACGCTGCCAAAACTTCTCTCCGAGGTGACCTAAGACCACACTCACTGAACCTTACACCTCTTCAAAGTGGTATCACTGGAGATGCAGGACTTAAAAGCCCCTTTGTGGATCATTACTTAGCACTAAAGATCAAATCATCAAAGAATCCTTAATGACATGGAGAGAAATAAAATATTATGAAATGGGATTATATATTGTCAGGCACAAAAGAGATCATCCTGTACCCTCTGGGGTCGTCTTGGGCTAGATGAGTAATCAAGACAGCAGCAGTGGGGTGAACAAAGGAGAAGAAATCAATTTAATGACACACAGGACTAAATTCTAAAGCATGGAGCAGACCAGGAGTATTTATACTGCTTTTGGCAACCTGGCCATAAAGGACAGAGAAGGGATGACTTCAAATGACAGACAGGCTATTTACTAAGAGTAAAGAGATTTTTAGAGTTGGAGCAGATGTATTGATAAGCCCAAGACTGGTGAGACCACTCCCCAAACTACATTTTTCTAGGTCATAAAAGGGGGAGCACTGGTTATATTCTGATTAGGAAAAGGTAGAAATTTAGGACATAGAAATTTATCTTTTTTGATTAGAATTAGGGCTGGCCAAAGAATTTGGGCAAAATCAGAAGCTTCTCCTGGCCTCCAGGGACCACACTGCTCAAAACAACCTGCCTTAAGTAACAATCATAGATCTCAGGGCTCATGGGGCCTTCATGGACCTCAACTTTCGACAGAAGATGATGGAGGCCTATCTAGACTTAGTAAGAAAAGCCTACTAGATAAATTCTTTTTGAGACACTGAACCCGCAAAATGCAATATGATCTTAACTATTTCTAAATGTTTCACCCTAACACCTGCACAAATAATTGAGTAGGGAAAATGCAAGCAAGATAAATACTGGCTGTTTGTGAATACTAGAATTTTAGGTGATTTTTATATTGTTTTCATGTTTATATTTTTCTAATTGTTTATAGAATCACAATAATACATTATTTTAAATGACATTTTCAAAGGCTTTTTAATTGCATCTAAAATAATTCCAGAAATACTGTTTATCTACTAACGAAGACTGTTTATGGGAAGCAGCAGTCAAGACAGGGGAGGCCTGCAGGACCCAGAGCGAGGGTTCTGAGGCTCTGTTTATACTCTAGGCTTCATTGACTGGTCAGTGTGACTAGTCTTGTGTGTGTCCTGGCTGATGATCTGAATTAGCACAGGGGGTCATCATCTTTTGGATCATGAGTGTAATATCCAAAACCCCACAGCTGTCCCATCCACTCCCTTTATCCATTCTGGCGCCCCAAATTGCCTGCTGGCTGAGGAATGGGGACCTAATTTTTAAATCTAGTCATCATACTGTGACATAATTGACATATAATGATTAGCTTTGGTACATGTAATAATGACTTGCTATTTGTACACATTGCCCAGAGATTACCAAAGTCTAAGTTAATGTCTTTCTCTATACCTAGTTATGATTTATTTCTTGTGATGAAAACTGTAAGAATCCTCATCAAATATGCAATGCAATATTATTAACTATAGTCACCATGCTGCACATAATACCCCCACAATGTATTTATTTAATAACTGTAAATTCACTTCTTTGCACTCACTGATCACCACCTGCTACCACCCATCTGTTGTCTGTAACTATGAGTGTGGCTTTTCTACTTATTTCAGATTCCACAAATCAATGAGATCATGTTATTTGTCATTCTCAGTCTGACTCATTACACAGCACAAATGCCCTCAAGCCCATTTACATTGCTGCACTTGGCAAGATTTCATACTTTTAGACAATTTTAAGTGAAAATAATAGACTACACAAGTGTCTAGACACTATGCTTCCAGTTTAGTTTGTCATGTATATAATAAGAAATATGATAGAAAGAAAACAGAAGTGATAAGAGATTACCTCTGGGGTAGGAATTTCTAGAGATTATAGTTTCTTTTAGTGTTTAATTTTGTCAAAGAAATGAGTTACTTTTAGAGTCAGAAAAAATGTTAGATACCCCAGTTTTTCTTCATATCTTATACATCTTTTGTCTTTTAAAATGTTAGGGTAGGTGTAGTCTTAAGTAATCATGAACAAAAGGAAAAGAAATGACATCATGGAGTCTTTTTAAAACGTACTCCATTCTTGCTCCTCCTTGCTAGCTTGTCAATTTTGTCTGTATTCAAAGAGATACCATAGATTTTTGAATTCCTTTTTATTTATTTATTTATTTATTTATTATTTACAAAAGTTTATTTTTACATCATTTTGTACATTTTTTTTCCATCTCAATTGTAATCCCCGTGGGTTTCCCATCACCAAGTCACCCGTGTTGAATTCCTTTGTAATATTTAAATTTTTATACCTATTATAGATTTTTAAGAAATTCTATGTTCATATCTTTATCCTTCCCTTCACCTTAAGACATTTTACTTCTAACATACCAGCTTCCATGCAATTCTCATCCAGTTTGTCATCTCTCCCTTGTTTTCTCATCTGCAAAAAATCTTATAGATGTCAAATTCATTTCAGTTTATCCATGTTTCCCAGAGTCATCATTTCTTCTTTATCCCAGATTTTCCTTCTCCATAGTCTTCTTTTCTATGAATGCGTGAGAAATAAACCCGACTTTGTTTGCCTGGAAATCTCTTTTCTTTAGTTCTTAAAGAAAGCCGGTTGAATATTCACATGAAAATCTTGACCACCCAATGGCTTATTTGTAGTAAAATTATGACACAATTCAGGTGGACATAATTCAGGTGGAAAATGATGTTGCTCAAAGAGGTACTGGTTCAGAAACAGGGGTCCTTGGGGTTCCTCTGGGAAAAGTCTCAACAGCAACCCTTTCAGCAGCAAATGGCAAGTTTCCCCATGAGGCAGAGACACTCAGTTCTATCCAAAAGGGCAGGTTAACTATAAAATGGGAAGTAAAGAAAAGAACACCAGCATGGACACACGGCGATTAGCAAGCATTGAATTTGAGGGAGTTGAGGTGAGACAATCTTGTATTTTTATCATCTTCTTCCTGTGGGGAACAGACACCTCTTTGTGGAATTGTTAATTGTTGTTAATTATTTCTAGGATGTAACTAGGTAGATTTGAAAGACTGGTAATTCTCTGTCATGGTCCTCAGTCTCCACATCCCAACCTCTGGTCTGGGCCTTAAGATCCATAGCAGTCTGAAGTTTGTTCTCCATGGGTGCTTAAAGAACTTTATTTGGTGTCACTCGGTAGATTTGCAAGGACCTGTGATTCTTTGCATTGAGCCTCAGTCTCCATATCTGTCATAAGCGAGCATACAGATGGCACAGCAGATTCTCGATGAACATTGTTTTGCTGAGTGTCGTTTTGTTAGAAAGTTGAAGAGAAAAACTAGTCCCTACTGATGTTGAGTGACAAGACATCCTCTGAGGACCTGCTTTCCTTATAGGTTGTTTTGCTTCAAGTCACAGTTCCCAAGAGTCTACTCATGACATTAAAGGAGAATTTACCATCTATTTACAGTTATATTTTTAGGTATTTAGTACCGAGGAAGTTTCTTAGTTCACCATATTGCTCCAAGTTGAAGTCCAAGCCTCCATGGCTTCCCAATTTGAGCTTCCCCCAAATCTTTCTCAGCTCCTGCATTGTCATCTTCCCAACTAAGTCCCAGTGTGTGCAATGGTTCATTTCTAGAGAGTTCAGCCCCCAAAACTGCCATCAGTAGAGAAAGCCTCAAAGTCCACATGCAAGTCTCATTTGTACCTCATTAAGTAGGGGTTTTGGATGTTGAAGCATGCTAGACAGCAGCCTGAGTCACTCCCCAATTTCTGAGGCCCAGTGGCTTATGACTTTTGTGTATTTCAGATTTGGCGTAAATATGATGCTGACAGCAGCGGCTTTATATCAGCTGCTGAGCTTCGTGTAAGTGTTGCTGGGATCTGCTGCTGGGTAAGGGTTAGCTTGCCCATCACCGGGAATGTGATATATGTGTATCATGAGTTAAGTTGCAATTGGCTCAAGAAACGTGGACTTGAATTTGTTACTTATAAAAATATATTGATGTTTAGAAGATTTAGGAAGTGCAGGTAACCTTGCTCTCTCTCTCTGGGAAAGAGAAAGAATTGGGGATTTATGACAACTTGTTCAAGCCTGGAGCCATTCTCTTGGTTCCAAGGAGGCTCTCCCAACAGTGACAGCCCTCCTTTCTTGGACTTATTGCTTGCTAAAAGCACTTTATTTCCTCTTTTTTAAAAATGAACCACACTTCTGAAAATGAGCTGCAAGATCTTTGTGAGTTATTTGTTTACTACATAAAGCATAAGTCTTCTTGTCTGGTCACAGAACTTCCTTCGAGATCTGTTCCTTCACCAGGAAAAGGTCATTTCTGAGGCCAAACTGGAAGAATATACTGGCACCATGGTAAGTAACTGAACAATGGGATCTCCATGAGGACAGCTTCCCCTGTCTCCTCAGGACCCCCAAACAAAATAAACACACACACACCTTCAGCCTGGAAAACATTTTCCAAATTTGAGTTGCATTATCTAAATTTGAGATTGGACTGCATATATTTGAGACAGAAAACTCTTCACCTGTCCTTGGAGAAATTTGATGTAAACACCAGGACAATAACCTCCACGCTAATCAAAGTCACACAGAAGCAAAAACATGGATCCAGACAGTCAGAAGCCAACATACAGGGCCCCACCTCCTGCTACAGTGAATGATTTTATCGAGGTTGCCAATAGATTTAGAGCAGTTGAGAGTCAATGACACAGGAGAGTGTGACCCATCTCTGCCACTGATTAGGTATGTGACCTTGGAGAATTGTCAAACCTCTTAACTTTATTTGTTTCATCTATAAAATGAGGGTTAAAAAGCTGAGCTCTCTTGGTTTTCAACCTTGGATGCTTCTGACTCTCTGGACTCTGACTTTTCTGAATATTGCCTGAGTCAGACTCAACTCTGCACAGGAAGAAAGAGCTCTTGACTATGACAACTTGTAAGTGACCTGGACTGCAGAAAAACTGGGACAAGTCAGAATCAAACCCTAAGACATGATCTCAATTAAGGAAATAATTTACTATGTTTTAGTAGCGCACAAAATGATATTTGAAATGCAGAATCATTATGTGTTCAGCAATTAAGAGTGAAGTGGGGAACCCCCTAGAAGCAAGAAGCCAGTTCCCAGCTACAGGAAAATCCCTAGGTTCCTTTGAACCTAGTTCCAGTGAAATGCTTGAACAGAATAAACAATATGAGAAAGGAAATTATACAGGAACCTCGGGACAGACTGTCAGGAAGATTAGTTCTCTCCCTAACATTGATTTAACATAATGTTAGTAGCAAGGGGTGCTGTTATCTCAAAAATTTTTTTTTTCATAAAACATGTGCTACACCAAATACTTGCCTTGAGAATCCCCAGCACATTTCTTGTACTTCTTTTAATATCTTTGATTCTGAGTCTTCCTCACTTCTTCCACCTCCAACTATAATCATAAATCATTCCTTTCTGACTTTTTACATAACTCAGCGCTTCCTTTCCTTCCCCATTCATGCCTGTCTTTCAAGATTCAGTTAGACATTATCTTGCCCTAGAAGATCTTCCAGAACATCCTTGATAGTGGGCCAAAGTGCCCTGTCTGTGCTCCTGTAGATTAATGGGCGTATCATTGTCTTATCATCAGAGACTTCCATTGAACTCAATTGCCATTGCTCACTGACACCTGCTACACCCCAGGCATTATTCTAGTCACCGGGAATTCAGCTTAAGAAAACATAAGAGAGACTGACACCCAGTGATAAACCTAACACATTCTATAATGAAATGGAGGGTAGTGAGTGTTGTGGAAAAAATAAAATGTAGAGTGAACAGGAAGGAGATGGTAGTGTCTTCAGGGGGTTAGGATGGCCACACGCAGGGTGGAAGAGGATGGCCAGGAAGGGTTTCAAGAAGGTGATATTGAGAAGAACCATGTGTACTGCAAGCACAGGACCCCTGGGGTGCAGTAAGACCATATTGGGGTTGTTTGGTCATGGTGAGAAGTTGAAGTTTCCATCTATGTGAGGTGGATGTTGATCTGATTGCTGTGTTAGAACAGCTGAAAAAGAGGAAGTGCGGAAGGTCTGTCTATTCAGAGACTATTATGACCACACAGGTCAACAGACCTCCACACATGGTGAGGTAACGGAAGAGAGGAGAGCTGACATATTTTGAAAATAGGATCATTAGGATTTTCTTTCTTTTTTAAGATATATTTATGCATACAGAACTGGGGTACAGGTCAGAGGTGCAGGAGCAGTGAGAGGGTTCACCAGAGATGAAATGGGGAGCAGAACAGGCAGATCGTCGAGGTACACTATAAGGGGAGCCTCGGCTGGGTCAGGAGAGGTCTGCTGCGCCATATGGATCTCCTCCAGGGCGGGGGATCGAACTCTTGCTGAAGTGGCTTTAGCTTCTTACTGCTGTGCTTTAACCTGCTGTGCCATCAGGGAGGGCCCAGGATTTTCTTTTTTTTTAAGATTTATTTATTTATGCTTACAGAACTGGGGTACAGGCCAGAGGTATAGTAGGTGAGAAAATTCACCAGAGACAGAATGGGGACATAACAGGCAGATCCACTGAAATACACTGCTGAGGGGAGCAGCAGGCAGGTCAGGAGACAGCCGTCTGCCTTGCCATGTGGGTCACCTCCCTGGCCGAGGATCAAACTGGTGCTGCAGTGGCTGCAGAGAGCTTCATAGTGCTGCCCTTTAACCCACTACACCACCAGGGAGGGCCCTAGTAGGATTTTCTGACCAATCAGTTGGGAATCCAGAGTAATGCTGACACTCTTTCTGGGTCTTGTGCTTCACCAGCTTGTGACCTCTCCAGGGTAAGGGCAACATACAATCTGTGTACTCAGTCAAGACCTGGTGTACAGACAGCTCTTTAATACAAATTCGAACTGAATTTTTAGCTACTAGCTAGAAGTCACCTGTGAATAAACATGACAACCTCAGTTTAGTTTGTCTGCATTCCTTGTGACCCTCAAGCCTCATATAGCTCTTGCTGTCTCTTGAAGTCCTCATGGAGTGCAAATTGCATAATTCACCATTTTGCATAGACCCAACTTTACTCAAACAATGCTTCCTACTCTGAAAGTATCTACCACCCCCCAATCCTTTTAAAACCAGACCCTCCAGCGTGGCTGGAAACAATGAGCTCAGTCCTCTGTGATTCTTAATTGACCCTACATTGCAGAAAGTCAACCAGGAAGATCACATGAAGCAGTGGAGCTGAGCTATGCTAAGCTCAGAGGCAAAGAGAGACAGGATGTTGGAATACCAAGCTGATGATCAGAGTTAGGAGCAGGAAAGGAGAAACCAAGCCTGGAGTGAGGACTAGAGCTAGACAGCTGAGGACACAGAGCAGAGCAAATCAGAGCAAGACAAGACCTTGAGATTCAACATTCAGATCACTAGGTTCTTCTTCTTAGGCTAAGATTGAGATGCTTTTTCTGGACTAACAGTAAGAAGGTCTCAGAGTAATCCCAAAACATCCTATCAAGCCCTCTCTTAAACTTTTAAAAAGATGTATTTATTTATTTATTTATGCACACAGAACTGGGGTACAGGCCAGAGGTGAAGGGGCGGTGAGAGGATTCATCAGAGGATTCACCAGACAGAGCGGGGAGCAGAACAGGCAGATTGACGAAGTACACAGCTGAGGGGAGCAGTGGGCGAGACAGGAGAGGTCTGCTGCACCATGTGGGTCACCTCCGGGGCAGAGATTGAACTCTCACTGAAGAGGCTGCAGCTGGCTTGCAGTGCTGAGCATTAACCTCTGTGCCTTAACCTGCTGCACCACCAGGGAGGGCACCTTTATGATCTAAATATTTATTTAAATCATTTTTTCTCACAGACTTAATTTTTCAGGGAAGTTTTTGATTCACAGCAAATGGAGTAGGAGATATGGAGTGTTCCCACATACTTCTGCTCCCACTCATGCTTCATCTTCTGACTAGCAGCATCCCTACCTACCAGAGAGCAATTCATACCTGTCACCCAATGCCTAAAGCTTACCTTGGGCTTCACTCCTAGTTTTGGGCACTTTTTTGGGTGTGAACACATTTAATGTACATATGTATATGCCTATATATATATAAAATATGCAATTATACATTATAGCGTTTCACATTTATCATGTATCCTGCAGTATCATGTAGTTTCCCAGCCCCAAATCCTGTGTTCTGTCTATTCATAACTACCTTCTACCCCCAACCCCAAACCCTGGTAACCACTGATCATTTTATTGTTTCCATAGTTTTACCTTGTCACAAATGCCTGGTAGCTGGAGTCATATTCTATGCAGACTTTTGGGTTGGCTTCTCTCATTTCTAAACAAATAGGCATTTACGTGTCTTCCATATTTTTTTTATGATTTGATAGCTCACTTCTTTTTATTCATTCATTTATTTATTCAATATTTGTAATGAATTACCATTGTTTTGCACACTTGTTTAAATAGGCCAAATATGATAACAGTGGCTTGGAATTTCAGACCCAAATCTGTCTCCAAAACTTGTTTTTTTCAGTCATCACATTTAGATATAAATGTCCAAATGCTGAATTCTCAGCTGGAGGCTTTAAAAGCAGGGAGATTCTGGCCTGTACCCCAGTTCTGTACAAATAAATAAATAAATCTAAAAAAAAAAAAAAAAAGCAGGGAGATTACAGTTTTATTGAGAGATCAAGAATAGATCTGAGGAAGAAAGTCAAGTGTAAGTTGAGGACGGAGCCATGTCAGAAGATGTAGCATCTCTTAAGACTTGGAAAGACAACACAGGCACTCTAATAGCCACAAGAGAATTTACCGCCCAGAAAAATCAATTTTTTTGTTTCATGAATCTCCAAAAAAATCCTAAGAAATTGCATATTATTAGACACCAAGTAGGAAATATTAATGAAAGCCAATGGGGAAATATTCCACAAGATAGTTCTGGAGGAAAAAAGAGGTTAAATTTGGGCAGGAAAGCAGGGAGGAGGGAATTTAGCCTCCTAAAACCCCAGGGGGGCCCTCCCTGGTGCAGCGGGTTAAAGCACAGCACTGAGAAGCTAAAGCCACTTCCGCATGAGTTCAATCCCCGCCTACCCCGGAAGTGACCACATGGCGCGGCAGACCTCTCCTGACCCGCCCGCTGCTCCCCTCAGCAGTGTACTTCATCGATCTGCCTGTTCTGTTCCCCACTCGTCTCTGGTGAATCCTCTCACCTTCCACATCTCTGGCCTGTACCCCAGTTCTGTATGAATAAATAAATAAATCTTAAAAAAAAAAAAAAAAAAAAAACCCAGGGGCCCCCTCATGCAAGCCACCCTGAGGTAGAAACAGTCTGGTGAAGAGCGCAGGCTGCTTAGAATCTCAGTGCTGCAGACCCATCAGGCCACCAGCACAGCAGCCACTTGCCAGAACCCTTGCCCTGCAGCCTTGAGTACGGCCTTTACATTTCCAGCAGCTTGAGGCTGGTAGCAGCTTCCAGCTTAGTGCTCAGTGCTGGGGGGAAACTGGCAATACATACTTCCTGTAGTCTTTGACTTAGATCCAGGAGTTTCAGTCCTGAGCAGTAGCTGAGGGGAGTCAGTGATCCACAGCTTTGGAGAATTAGATGGAGACCGTGCAGGGAGCCAGGCTGGGCTGTTCTTTGTCTCCTCCATTGCTCAGACCTTGCGATTCTTTTGCTCATGTGCACTGCAGTTAAATGCTTATTTCTTATCCAAATTGCCCAGTGATGACAGATCAGTCAAACACCAAAACGCCTCTCACACTGATTTTTTTTTTTATGCAGAGCTGATTGGTAGGTGTTTGAGGAAACTGGTAAGAGGGTTTCCATACAAAAATCACAGTTTGATCAGAAGACAGATGACTTAAATGAGATTTTGGCTCATCTATTTAATTTTTCTTCCTTAAATTAAAATAGTGACAAAAACTTAAAATAGTGACAATTTTCCCCAAATAAACAGATTTCAGATGTGGACTATAATTTGCATTTGTTTATTTATTTAAAAAATTTTATATTTCCCTATGGACTGTAGGCTAGACTACCTTTTAGAAACTCCATATTCTCAAAAAAAAAAAAAAAAAAAAGACTTCAAGGCATCTAGGACCTGAGCTCTAATTCAGTGTGAAATCACAAGTGTGAAATCCCCTTCCTGCTGCTTTAATGATTTTTTTTTATTGAGCAATGGACACAGTCACAGAGCCATAAAGATTTGGTTCCAAGGTTTAGCATCACATGCTTTACTTAAGTGATGTAATGCACTAAATGAATTCAAAAGTATCCAAATAAGGATTGGCACATTGGAGAGCTGTCTGAAGCACAAAAATGAACAAGACAGGACAGAACATCAAATCATAAAATTTGACATTTACAGAGCTTCCCCTATTCCATTTCTAATTAATGTCCTGGATAAGACAAGATGGCGTCTATTAACAAAATCCAATTGTAACACCTAAGTGAGAGGAGCTGTCAACACCCAGCAGAGGGAAAGATTAACTGACTGAACAGAATGGTTAGATAATACTGAACATTTATTTTTTAGTTATTTATTTTTAAAGATTTATTTATTTATTCATTCGTACAGAACTGGGGTACAGGCCTGAGGCTCAGGGGCAGCGAGAGGCTTCACCAGAGACAGAGTGGGGAGCAGAACAGGCAGATTGACAAAGTCCACTGCTGAGGGGAGCAGCAGGCGGGTCAGGAGAGGTCTGCTGTGCCATGTGGGTCACCTCCGGGGCAGGCGGGAATCGAACTCATGTGGAAGTGGCTTTAGCTTCTTAGTGCTGTGCTTTAACCCGCTGTGCCACCAGGGAGGGCCCTGATTTTTAAGGGTTTATATATTTATGCATACAAGAGCTGGGGTACAAGCCAGAGGTATTGGTGGTGAGAAGATCTACCAGGGACAGAGTGGGGAGCAGAGAAGAAAGACTGACCGAAGTACACTGCTGAGGGGAGCAGCGGGCAGGATAGGAGAGGTCTGCCTCACCCTGTGGGTCAGCTCTGGGGCCAGGGACTGAACTTATGCTGAAGTGGCTGAGGCTAGCTTTCCAGTGTGTTCCTTTCACACATTATGCCAGCAGGGAGATAATTTTTTTTTTCTTTTTGGTAGAGACCCAGGTGTGGGTTTCAGTGAAAACACGTTACATTGTGTGGGTGCAGGTATTACCTGATTTGAGGCTTCTGAATATTCTTCGCCACTGAGTAGTGGCCAAACAGCATCCCTTGAGGAGATGCTCGCCATTCACCCCTGAGAAGAAGGGCAAAGTTTGGTGTCACTGACCCCCCTCACCCCAGGCCCCCAAGAACCCTTCCTGCCAACAGCCACACTGGAACCTTCTTCTCTGAAGTACCATTCGCTGGTTCTACCAAGAAAAGCTCTCAGCCTCACTGTTAGTCCCCTTCAGTATCTCTGACAGGGTCATGACGTGATTACTGAACAACCGGAACTGGATGAGAGCTTGCGCCTCGCCTCACGTAAGCTCTCAGACTGTAGGATCCCAGGACACCTTCCGGTGCAGAGGCAGTGCAGCAGGAGTGAGAGGGAGTGAGAGGGAGCCCCGAAGGGGGCTCCAGCCCTTTCCCCTTCACTACCTGCACAGCGTGCTGCCTCTGTTGCGTGTACCATGCACTGCTTCATTTGAAAATAACGTGCTTGGGGAAGGGGAGTTTTGAAATGATGACATGTTACAGGGCAAGGTGAGGGGCACTGAGGGATCCCCAAACTTGCCTGCTCCATGTAGGTTCAGTCATCTGCTACATCAAGACCAAATACACTCTAGTGTGCAAGACCTTTGATATAATTAGTGTGTAATAAAGAGAAGGGAAAGAATAGATAAAGTTGTTTCCCATGCAACACCCAAAGTTACCCATCCCTTTGTGGGTAAATGCCCAGGCAAACAGGTGATGGTGATGGTATCAGAGAACAACACATAGCTCATTCAATAGGAATATGAGTTAGGTTTAATGGGCATAGATGGCTTTTTAATATAATCATTACATGTCAAAAAATATATTTTGAAAGATTTGGTCATTGCTTTTTTAATATCAAAGTTTGCAGAAAATGGACTTGAAAATTAATTTTAAATATCAAAAACAAGCTGAATTTAGAGAGTGAAGAAAGAGGGAAGACTGCAGTGTTGTTAAATGTAAAAGTCTGTTGGATATGATCTTAAGTCTATCTCATGCCTCTTTGTCCCAGTGCAGCCTCCCCAGTGCTCAGGAATATTCTGCAGCACTGAGACGTGAAGTTGCAAAAGGCACTCACACTGCAGCTTATGTCTACAAAGAAATGTATCGCCTCGTTTTCCCTAAACCGATCTGATCTTCCCGACTTTAACTTTTAATCCTACCTTGTTTAAAGCTTAGTATAATCTTGTGAACAGCCCCTTTGGATAGTGCTAAGTCCCTCTACAAAAGGAAAAGCTCAGCCTCTTAGATTTCTCAATCACGTCTATTCAACTCAGACTCTTTGCCAAAAACATTAAAGTGAGTAAGGAGATAAAGACAGTTTATGGGACCTCATTGTGAAGAGGGAGGAATTGAAGCCCCTGGAATCAGTCTTCTCACTCTTCTGGTTTCCAGGGTGATGCCTATTGACCAATCAGTTGCTGTTGCCTCGCTGGCATTCACGGTTGAAGTCTGTAATGAACTCATAATCTATTCTCTTCCATCTATCTGGAAGTCCAGGCTACCCTAGCATCCACAATTTGACTCCAGCTGGATGCATACCAAAAATTCTCTGCCACATTCTCCTCCCAGCCTGCTAACAGGCGGATCCACTCCCATTCTCTGTTCTGACATCACCTCATAAATAAATAGCAAATTCTCATGGAATGTCCATTGGCTCTGACTTGGCATTCAGGTCAAGCTATAAAATCTCTCTCTTCTCAGTGTTCTTCCTTAACTAGTTCTCTTCTTCTGGAATCTCCTTCCCACAGAATTAGGTCATATATCTATCTACTCTCCTATCTCTAAAGTTTTCTCTTTTCCTTTCCTTTGAGGCCCAGAGAGGGAAGATTATCCCCTATGTCTTACCTTACTCAACTATTTTGCTGTCATGGAAAAATAATATTTGGATCTGAATCAGTTTCACTCAGAATAGGAACTTGCTTGAGTGGTTTACATAATGAATTCTTGTTACAAGTATTTCCTACAATTATACCTTCTCCTGCTTTCCAGATGAAGATCTTTGACAAAAATAAAGATGGTCGGTTGGATCTTAATGATTTGGCAAGGTGAGTAGCATGGAGATGATGTCATTGATTCAGTAACACCTTTATGGGGTTCAATGCTAGTAAACCCATCATTTCTAAAGATAGAGATCAAGTCTTTCCTGAAATCCTAAAGACAGCTGCACTTTACCCAATAAGACACAGTGGTTCTGAATATTTGTGTAGAAACAAAGATCCTTTTGTGAAGATAGTAAAAGCTCTTCTCTCACAAAATGCACAGAATTTTCATAAACTCTATCTGTGGGTCATTGATGATTCCTCATAGGGGCCCAAGACCATAAATAATCCTCAATTCCACTCACTAACAACCTAAATGCCCCAGAACAGATGAGTGGATGAAGAAGATGTGGTCTAGCTATCCAATGAAATACTGCTCAGCAATCAAAACAGATAAATTCATGTTATTTGTGGCAACATGGATGGAATTGGAAGGAATTATTCTAAGCAAAGTGAGCCAGAAGGAGAAGATAAATACTGTATAATTTCATGTATTTGTAGAAGCTGAAGCAACTAAACAAGGATCAGACAAAGACAAACTATAAGACTGACACTTAAAAGCAGACTGTAGGAGGAAGAGGGAAGGAAGGGTTGTTGAGCAGTCAGTTCAAGATGAAGGGCTGTTGAGCCAAGGCCAGCTGCACACTGTGGTCTTTGAGTGTTGGTGTGTCCTCCATGGGCTGAGTGCTGGAAGATTTAGAAGGGAAGGGCCCGGATCTTGCCCGACTGCTGTCTGTGAACTTGATGTGACACATGACAAGTGTGTCAGCATGTTATCTGACCTCAAGAAACATGACCTGCCGTTCAGAGAAAGGAAAAAGAGTAGCTGCCCCAAGTAAATCATGTGTATATATATTTAAAAAAGGAGTATTAAACTCCTTTTTACTTCACAATAAATACAGGATTATCCCCCTTATGTCCCATCACCATAGTTTTTCCATCACTTAAGTGCCCACTGTGTTTTCCTTCCCCTTTGTTCTCTATTCTCTTCTTCTCCCTCCCTTCCCTCTCCCTCCTACAGTCTGTTTTTAAGTGTCAGTCTTATAGTTTGTCTTTGTCTGATCCTTGTTTAGTTGCTTCAGCTTCTACAAATACATGAAATTATACAATATTTATCTTTCTCCTTCTGGCTCACTTTGTTTAGAATAATTCCTTCCAATTCCATCCATGTTGCCACAAATAACATGAGTTTATCTGTTTTGATTGCTGAGTAGTATTCCATTGGATAGGTAGGCCACATCTTCATCCACTCATCTGTTCTGGGGCATTTAGGTTGTTTCCATAGCCTGACTATTATAAATAGAATTGCATAGGAGTAACATAGGAGTACAGATTTCCTTTCAAAGTAATGTTTTTGTGCTCTTTGGAGATACCTAAGTGTGAAATTGCTGGGTCATATGTCAGATGAATTTTTAAAATTCTTTCTATGGTAATTATCTTAATTCTCTTTTCATTTTCTATTTAGGATTCTGGCTCTTCAGGAAAACTTCCTTCTTCAATTTAAAATGGATGTGAGTAGTGACATTTCTCTTGATGAGCATGACTTTCATGTTTCTCCATAGATCTGAGACAGAGGGAATAAAGAAAGAAGACATCTAATTGTTTTGCCCTCACCTTACCTAGACAGATAAACTCAGTGGTGGAATCAAGGGATTAAGGGTTATTGACTCAAAAGTTTTTTAACCTGGAAGGACACTGAAGAATTGTACCACTCAAGTTTCACATTGCTGCATTGACATACAATTTTGTCTCTGTGCAGGCTTGTTCCACTGAAGAAAGAAAGAGAGACTTTGAGAAAATTTTTGCCCATTATGATGTTGTAAGTCTACCTCTTCATCTTGTGCTGACTGTCTTACGGTAGGAAGCTAATTCTGCCCCTATGTGGGGACATCTTACTAAAAGAACCTAAATTTAGATGCTGAAAAGCAATCCCACATATATATTGCTATGTCAAGTTACCTTCCTCTTCTTTATTTAACTTTTGAGTACTAAGTAAAAATGGTCACAGGAGTGTTTATCATTGCAAGGAGAAAAAAATCTTAATGGCTATTTTGCCCCTTGGATCCAAACCAGGAGAAAGTGACTCCTTCTTGATCTCCATCTAGAATTGTATGCCCAGAAACTAAAGAAACAATCAAAATAAACTGCATCCAAACAAGAAACATAAAAGCAAAGTTGGACTTATTTGACATAAAACTACTTCTCTTCTAGGACTAATTATTTGACCATTCTTTAGGAGAGCCAATTGCTCTAAGCACACAGTGTGGCAAAGGGTTTGCATTTCTAGATAATAAAAGAAGCTGGGATAATACAAAAAAGAAGGAGAAAAAGAAGTTGGGTAAGAACAATAGAGACTCTGAAACTAATCAGATTGAGGATCTATGTGTGATGTTCTGAGCAGGAAAGAGCATCACCTGGAAAAGGCAGTGTCATAAGCACTTAGGTTACAGCTTTTATGACCAATTGCCTGGGTGTGAATCTTGGCTCCCTGGTTTATTAGCCACGTGACATTGGGAAGGTCCTTAAACTCCTTTGTGCCTGTTTACCTTATCTATAAAATTAGGGTGATGAGGGTAAGAATAATGATAATAATAACTAGCTCATGGGATGTTATGAAAATTAAATGAATTCATGTTTGCATAATTCACTTAGACTTCTTGGCATGTAGCAAGCACTATACTGATTTTTGGGAAATACACTAAAGGACTAACTTTTTCAAAGGATATGTAAAAAATATTTCTGGCCCTCCCTGGTGGCACAGCAGGTTAAAGCACAGCACTAAGAAGCTAAAGCCACTTCCGCATGAGTTCAATCCCCGCCTGCCCCGGAGGTGACCACATGGCGTGGCAGACCTCTCCTGACCCTCCCGCTGCTCCCCTCAGCAGTGTACTTCGTTGATGTGCCTGTTCTGCTCCCCACTCTGTCTCTGGTGAAGGGTCTCACCACCCTGCCCCTCTGGCCTGTACCCCAGTTCTATATGCATAAATAAATAAATCTTTAAAAAAAATATTTCTTACTCTGGAATAAGATGAGTTCTTCTGGAATGGATGAGTTATCATAACTGGAAATTTAGAGAATAAACTGCAATATTTAAATAGACTGCATTTTTTACATATTACTATAAGATAGGTAGAGCAAAAAATTAGGGTTTTATGTATAGGCCCAGAAACAATTCTAATATGTTCATACCACCTGAATCCCTTGGTTTAAAGTATGTATATATTTTTTTAGATTTATTTATTTATTCATACAGAACTGGGGTACAGGCCAGAGATGTGGAGGGTGAGAGGATTCACCAGGGACAGAGCGGGGAGCAGAACAGGCAGATCGACGAAGTACACTGCTGAGGGGAGCAGCGGGAGGGTCAGGAGAGGTCTGCCACGCCATGTGGATCTCCTCCGGGGCAGGTGGGGATCGAACTCATGCGGAAGTGGTTTAAGCTTCTTAGTGCAGTGCTTTAACCCGCTGCGCTACCAGGGAGGGCCCTAAAGTATGTATTTTAATCATCATAAATTCCCTGCTAAATAACAAAGCAAAAAAAAACAATTCTCAATCTATCCTTCAAAGATTCAATAGAATGTGCAATTCACACATGTCTTAATTGAAATTTGATATTTGGGGAATGATAAAACTCAGCATGTCATGCTATTTGTGAAAGTTACAAAACTCAAAATCTACAGCTTCCTAGCAATAGTTACATGTATTTACACAGTAGGAGTTATTGACAATGGATCCTTTTAATTTATGTGGAACAATTACATCTTGAACAGAGAATGTAGATGAAACATGCCATCTCCAAACTCATTTGTGGCCACAAAGGGATACTGATTCAGTTCATTTGCCTAATTGATCTTTAGATATTTGATTTAAGAAATTCATGCTTGTGGTTAATTGATCTTTCAGAGTAAAACTGGAGCGCTAGAAGGCCCTGAAGTTGATGGGTTTGTCAAAGACATGATGGAGCTTGTTCAGGTAACTTCGTGGGGCTGAGGACATTGATCCTGTCATGGATTGGCAGTGCCATTTGATTGACTTCATTGTATATTTTTGGGAATCAATAGGGCTGAAGCTTAATGTTGGAGAGAAAATTTTAGGGATATAGGTAATTTAACAAAATGAGCTTCTGTGCAACCCAAAAAATCTTCCTTTTTCTCTTAAGATCATTTGTCATGTCAACATGGTGAAATCCACAGAGGAACTTCTTTTTACCACCCTTTGAAAGTCATTTATTATAAATGCACAAAATACTAGGGAGGTCATTTATTTTCTTAAAGGAGCACAGCACTACTATATAGCTTACTGCTTTATTTTTCTATTACAGAAATTCTTTTTTATAAATGATAGAAGTTACTAGAATAACTCAATTTTATGCAATAAATCCCATAGCTGGGATGTCATTCATTTTTACGCAAGGGCTGCTTTGCACCTATCTATCAGGTTTGAACTGCAATTTGGTGATATCTTCATCACAGAGCTTTTCTCTCTCTTTTGGGATGTCTTGTGACGTCATTGATTGACTACATGATCCAGTGAAGCAGATACTTTCCTACTTCTCCTTTTTCATGGAACATTAGTCACTAAATTTAGTGGCCTCATTTTTTTTAGGGAGTTTTTTGAGGTTTGTATAAGACATAGTGGTGTGTCCCAATTAGCCTAGATGACAACAATTAAATGCAATTATTCAGTGTTTTTGGAGTCCCAGACCTATTTGAAATCTTACTAAAATGTTGGGGCTTTGTAGCAGAAAAAGGCCCAGGCATTAATTTTTGTATAAAGCTCCAAGAAGTTCACATATTGTGATTGAGATTTAAACGAGACTTTTTTCCTGATTTCTAATCAGTATAACTGAACTGTGTTCTTTGACTCTTGGTTCTTTTTCTTTTTCTTTTTTGCATCTGAACTGGTCCCTTGCCTCTAATTTGTCCTCTCACGAGTTGCCCTTGTTAGAGATTTCTGGCACATCCGGAAGAGTTGATGGGTGTCGGGACAGTGTGGCTTTTTACATTGATTGCTAAAGGAAAAATCCCATTTTACTCATTATCTATTTATGCCAGAATGGCTTCTGTAATAGAAACTGAGTGATTATCTATGGGACATTAAAGCTGCACAGCAGAAGGCCTTGCTACACTGGATCTTTAATTTGTTTTTGATGGGACAAATGGGCCAGCTAGCCTGGTTTTCAGAGCTGTGTGTTCTCCTCTGTGTAGTAGACTTGGGGTCACTGATTGGTTTCTTGGGTGCAAAACCCTAGGGCTTCAGGTCCTTTCAGGTCCTTTCAATTGTCACTAATTTCAGCTTCCAAAGGTGAATGAGAGATGACAGAAGGAAAACCCAGGCCAAATCAGCAAGAGAATACAGAGGGCATTTTTCTGGAGACTGTCAAAACATAGGGACAATTTTTAGACCACCCCAAAACATGAGTTGGAAGTAGGAGTCTGTCACTCTGAGAGACTCATCTCAGTTGCCTGCAAAGTCAGAGTTTCCCTCTCCACCCCCACCCCACTCTCTGTTACCCTTCCCTTTCTGTGTGGCTGTTGGGACAATGAAAAAGCAGCTCAGAGTGTAAGTACCAACCAGTGGAAGACATCTGGTTTCTAAGGACTAAGTCAGATTGTGGTCAGTAACATTAAATAAGCATGGAGCGGGCAGATTTGTTAAGGTCAAAAGGAAGTACATGGTAGTTGATTAGTAATGATCTTTGAAGCTTGCTAATTGAGGGGTTCACACATCTATCTGACCTTTCCTGGTTTTCCAGATGGCCATTGGGGTGCATATCACATTTCATGGCTTCATAAACTAGAATCACCTCATGACTTTTTCTCTATTTTCACTTATAACAGAGGGCTATATAGGAGGAGTAAATAAATCAGTATCTGAAATCTAATTTATTTTTGTGCAGAACATCTGGAGTGTAGCTCAGAGGTGTGAGGCAGTGATGTGGGGGTGTGTGTTAGAGGATTCACCACAGATAGAGTAGGGAACAGAGCAGGCAGGTCTGGTGAAATTCACTGCTAAGGGGAGAACCAGGAGTGGTCTGCAGCACCATATAAGGATCAGCTCTCTGGCTGGGATTGAACTCAGGTTGTGGCTGGCGTCCTGAGACTTAGCCCAAGGTCACCAGAAAGGCTGCTAAAATGTAGTTTAAAAACTCTCAAAGTCTGTCATGGGGTCAGCAGGAAGCTGGCTTACCTTTAAATTGTCCAGCCCTACAATAATAATCCTAAAGGAAGCTTATTTAAAGTCTCTTAATTCTTGCACAACCATGTATGGCGCATATATTGAATTTGTATTAAAATAATTATTTAGTTACTGGAACACTCTTTTCCGGTAACTAAATAGTACCTGAGGCTGTGCTCTGTTGGGGTGATAAGACAGCAAGCCCTTGAGGGAACAGACCCAATCATTTCTGCACAAGATCTTTTAAGAGCCTGTAGCTCCTGGCAAGAAGATCAAAACAAGAATCCCACTTTACACTAAAGAAGCAAGAGTCTCAGCATCCACCAAGATGAAGTAGGAATGTAAACAATAACTGGAAGGTAAATACATGGGATGGCAGCTGTTATCTTAGAGGCTGTTATCTTAGAGATAAGAATCCCCGCCCCTGGGTCTCCTCCAAGTTTGTTCTTTTTCCTGCTGGAGAGACCTGCTTTTCTCTTGTTCAGAAGAAGGTTGGAAAGGATAGTATTTAACCTAAAGGATCAGGTATAATATATGCCAAAAAATTACTAGCCCTAAGCACAAACTTTATCACTTCATTTTTTGAACTGTAAAATGACACACCATAGAGAAATTTGAAAAGAAAACAGAAAAGGAAGCATTGTCTTTATATTGGAATGGACCCATTCAGTGACTTCATTTCTGCATCATTTTACACAGAGCTGAGGTTGTACTGAATAAGCGTTTCATAGTAACAGTCACTTTAGTGTCGTGTGCTATTTTCATCTGTGGCTAGATACGACCATGGCTATGACACAGCAAGGTGGTAAACAGATGTGTTCTGGGCTTGCCTGCATGTATATCCCAGTTCTCACATGTTCCACTTGTGAGGAGTTAACTTCTCTGTGCCATAGTTTCCTCATTTTTCAATTAAAGATGATAGTAGACTCAACTTCGTAAGCTTGTTTTAAAGATTAAAATTAATATGAGCAGGCACCTTAGATCAGGCTGCCTTCACCTGTATCGGTGACTTGCTATTTGAACAGGGACCCTTAGTGACATTAGATGCTTTGTCTTCCATCATCAAAAATCCCTCCCAGCATTCCTGAGCAGTGGCATTCAAGTCTCCTCCTAATGAGTTATGGAATATTAAAAGCATAACTTAAAGGTCCAAAGAAACTTCTCTTACACACATTCACATTCACACCTTCCAAACAATCATTTACGCACCCCAAAGTAGTTCCACTTACGTGAAGGAAATAATTCTTTCCTAGGAAGCGAAACTTTCATTCTTCAATGACCTCTTGCATGAAATAAATACTTCTGCAAATTAAATCATGCTAATGTATAAATAAATACCACCTGACTTTTTTCTAAGAGTGGAATTTGCTAGGAAGATCCACTTACTTTTCTTGTAAAGATTTATGTTTTACTTATTTATGCATATGAGACCTGGAGTGCAGGCCAGAGGAGTGGGGTGGTGATGAAAGGATTCCCCAGAGACAGAGTGGGGAGCAGAACAGGCAGACTGACGAAGTACACTGCTGAGGGGAGCAGCGGGGAGACAGGAGGGGTCTGCTGTGCCGTGTGGATCAACTCCCTGGCTGAGGATTGAACTCAGGCCGCAGCGGCTGCCGATAGCTTGCTAGTGCTGACCCACGGGCTCACTAATTGGAGAAAGGATGATGCAAAAGGGTGAAGGATGTGAAGTCAAATGTCTCCACTTGGAAACTGTACCACAAAGAGCTCCCAAAACAGGTCCACACTGTGCAGCTTGCTGCTTTCAGGACTTCTAGGTCACATTCCCTTGGGTCACCCTGTACCAGCCTGGTGCTGACACGCACTCCTTTATGAGTCCCAGCAAAGAGAACCTAGTGACAGTGTGTTACATATTTGCCTCTTAGTCCAGTTATTCGGGGACTCTGGATAGAGGAATGAAGTTGGCCCAGTTTAGCTCCTGGTCCATATTTACATTCCGGTTTCTCCACAGCTCTGACCTCTTAGAGATTTATTCTTTTGCTCATCCCGTGGCTCCCAGTTCCTCTTGCTCTCGTCCTTCCTTCCCTCTGTTGAAACCTGCCTTTAGCCCAGTGGGCAGTACAATTGGTTTGTTTTACAAGGCTGTCTAGTTGAAGGATGAAAAGTTTTGCTCCCTTTTGAGAGTTTTTAAGAGATGTCTTTGGAAGTAAGGAATTGTTATTGTTTGAAAGTGAGGAATTGATGGGGATAGTTTCTCAGGGCTCTGGAAATTATATCCTGTGATAGACATAAAACTCGCCCAGTAACCAAGGGCTTGGGACAACAAAAGGATAAAGATCCCCTTTCTTTCTGGACACTGACTTTTTAATTTTTGTTTATTACTACTATTCACATGGCTCTTTAAACCAGCTATTTCTCCTCAACAGTGAAAAATGGTGAAAGATTCTCAATTGGAGACCAAAGACTTGGGATCAAAAATTCTGTTTCAGCTTTCCAGCTTGGCAAGCTGCTTTGGCGCTCTCTGGGTCTCTGTTTCCTAATCTTTAAACAAGGACACAGTGGGGATTAAAGGAAACCCAAGGAGAATCACTTAGCTCAAGTATTGCTCACCTTGGCAGACCTGTGAGTTTAAAATATATTCCTTGCTGACATGCAACATGAGTCCTTTTTAGCCCCTAAAATATCCTTGGGAATAAATTTGACATCCCTAGCCCAGCAACAGAAAGTTTTAGCTAAATCGTCATTCATTACAGGCCCTGTAAAACTGGAGGCACAAGCATTTCCCAGAGGGTGATAAAAACAATGTGTCTTAACAGAGTAGCAAGACAGGATAGGTAAGATATCTGTATTATGGTCGCTAAACAGGCAGGCTGTCTGTCAGAACAGCAGAGGAGTGAGTTACGGGTGGAAGTTCTTTTGCCTCAGGAGACACTGGCAGAAGAGTATCTCCAGGGTGGCTCTCTCAGAGGGCAGGGTGTCCCTGACGCTCAGTGACCCTGGGGCCCGGTGTGGGTGGCATTAAAGGATGGGGCCATGATGACTTATGTGTTCAGATGTTGTTTTTGTTGTCCTCAGCCCAGCATCCGTGGGGTGGACCTTGATAAGTTCCGGGAGATTCTTTTGCGTCACTGCGATGTGAACAAGGATGGAAAAATTCAGAAGTCTGAGCTGGCCCTGTGTCTTGGGCTGAAAGGCAACCCATAAATCCCCAGACCAATCTGCTTTTTGCTTTTAATTGGTGTGTTTGCTCCTGCTGGTAAAATTGTATCTGTGCTTTGCTGTTGGGGACTCTGGGCAAACGTTCCAACAGATGCTGTGATGTTCTTGGGTGCCTAGAGACCACCTTCTACCTACAGACACAGCAATTTCTTGCCTCACCAGAAGTCCCCCACCACTGTCTTTTATGTTGTCCCTTGACCCTGGGTTTCCCAACCCCCACCCCTGGCTGTACCCCAAGACTCAGCGAAACTATTGGATCTGCTCTTCTTGTCTTCCCCTAGTCATCTGGGTGATGGTGACAGCTGATTCCATCCATCTGATTCTTCTCGTGGCCTTTCTGCTGAGTCTGAATGGTGCGTGACTTTGTTAACAGTCCTGTGACTTCTATAAATTGATCTTGGTGCAGAAATAAACTTGCTCCTGGGAACAAAGATGCACTGGCAATGGTTTTTGTGTCGTGGCCTTTAAAATGTTCTACCCAGTGGTTGATGGACAAATTACTACTCTAACTTGGGGTGGGGGGAGGAGAAGCAGAGAGAAGGTCAAGGTCCTGATGGAATCCACACCACCAATGTATCTGTAGTTCTTAGATGCCTGAGTGTGCTCACGTGGAAGTAAGTTTCCAGTAATCACTTCTTAGTCATGACATGGAAGAGGCCAGAACATTCATCTTGAGCTGGGTTTTGCCCTTACAGGCTTTGCCAGGTGGGTAGGAATACAGAAGAAATTTGGAGAAAATGTTTCCTATGGAACCCAAGCATCTGTTCCCCACTCCATCCCTTGCCCCCAACAATTTTCTCTAGTGAATGTGAGCCCAGGGGCTTGAAGCTTTCTCCTTGACCCTTGAGAATCATCAGCTTCCAGTCAGCAGCTTGCTGCTCCATCACAGAAGCCTCTTGCCCTCATTCTTGGAACTCTGACTCCATGTTCCCCCGGACAGGGTCTGTCTTTCCCTTGGGAGAGAGACAGAAAATTTAATGTGGGGCAATTAGTATTATGCAACTTAAAAAAGCAGCCATGCAATTCCATTTTCAAAATCATTGTGAGTAACAACAGGAAATTGCTGAAAGTGGACTGAGTGAATTAGGAAATATATCCAAAGCAGAGATCACATATTTCAAGTGTTTACATGAATCCTTCTCATAATTTAAGACATTCTTTAGGCAAAGAAGATGGATCAGTCTTGACTCTATCCCACCAGGTCAAATTATGAGGAAAATGTCCCATATTGTAGAACGTGACAGCGGAGATGTGAGCACATTGGGGTCGGCATAGATGAAGAAAGTGGCCTTTAAGAAGACTAAAGCATCTAATGGCAATTTTAATGTGATTTTCCTTCCATCCCCGGCTTTGTCCTGTCATAAAAATCTATCCATTATCTTCTTCTTAAAATAGAATTAGGCTTTGCCTAATTGACTTTCTTGGAATCTAATTATTTTTAAGCATTTTCTCAACTTATTTTCTCTGAAAAAGAAGATGCTCTTGCAACAGAATCAAGATAATCATTTTCACAGGGAAATCACTTCCAGGGAATTAGAGCCATACTTTGCATTGCTCCTTTTATAACTATGTTCATTCATTTGTTAGCTCAAAAAATGATAAATTCCATTTTTTTATACCCAAAGTTATATAGTCAGGGGGTCATCTTCTCTCTCTTCTCATACCTATCACAGATACACAATAACTATTGGCTTGCCTGACATCTGGTATTCACCTGTCATGTGGAAAACTTCATGGTCGTGAAAGTATGATTTTTTTTTAAAGATTTATTTATTTATACAGAACTGGGGTACAGGCCAGAGATGCGGAGGGTGAGAGGATTCACCAAGAACAGAGTGGGGAACAGAACAGGCAGATTGACGAAGTACACTGCTGAGGGGAGCAGCGGGTGGGCCAGGAGAGGTCTGCCACACCATGTGGATCTCCTCCAGGGCAGGCGGGGATCGAACTCATGCGGAAGTGGAGTGCAGTGCTTTAACCCATTGCGCCACCAGGGAGGGCCGAAAGTATGATTTTTAATGTTACTTTATTACTTGGAATCAACAGGATCAATTTCAGCTCTTTGGCACAATGCATTTACTAGATTTTAAAGTCTCCTGCTGGAGCCTGGCTGCATTGCTGAGACGGTGTTGATGTGACTAGCAGTACAAATTGACAGCTTTTATTCCTTGGGGGCTCCTACTACCTCCTGACACATGTGACATTTCTTGACTTACAACTATTTATTTATTTATTTTTAAAAGATTTTGTTTATTCATACAGAACTGGGGTACAGGCCAGAGATGTGGAGAGTGAGAGGATTCACCTGAGACAGAGCAGGGAGCAGAGCAGGCAGATCTACGAAGTACACTGCTGAGGGGAGCAGCGGGCGGGTCAGGAGAGGTCTGCCGTGTCATGTGGATCTCCTCCGGGGCAGGCGGGGATCGAACTCATGCGGAAGTAGCTTAAGCTTCTTAGTGCAGAGCTTTAACCCACTGCACCACCAGGGAGGGCCCTTACAATTATTTATATACGTAGTAAATAAAACATACCAGCACTCTTCTGGACAATTAATGCATAGCAGTATCAAAGACACAAGTCTTGCACTATGGTCTTATTTCCTGGTTGATGTACAACTTCTCTCTTAAACCTACCCACTGAGGATGTTGAAATGGAATCATTTTTTCCTACTAGATCCCAAAATTCTGTAATGCAGAATGAGCACACTAGGGAGAGCTGGACCTCAGAAGACAAGAATACCAATTAGTTTACATTGGAAAGTTATGGAGTGAAAAGAGAAAACATTTTTCAGTCATCTGATAGAAAACGAAATGTGATTTACTTGCAGTTGGTCACAAGGGAGAGACTCATTGTAAATGAGTCTGGATAAATATAAGTGCTAGACTGACTTTTCCCTCTCATGAATCAGTGTTTGTCATGTATGTAGAAAACTTGTAGGGTAGAGGCTCAATTAGCATTTCCTGTGTAACAACTTCCCTTTTCCCTTATGGGTTCTTTTTGGCCTGGTTGAGCAACCAAATTAACATCAGACAGATTAGTAAGAGGAGAAAAAAACATCAGACAGGTTAGTAAGAGAAGAAAACAATGACAAATTTACTTACATATGGGTCATCAATATAGATGTGGATTCTAATTCCAGAAAAGGTAAGGAGAGTATGTATCCTGAGCTAAGGAATCAGATCGGGGCCTGGGACTTGAAGAAGAGGGCAGGGGAACTCAGATGAGGAAGGGTGACTTTAATTAGGTGTTTTACCTGACATATAGACAGATTTCTCTTATAGAAAGGCTATTTAAGGTAAAAATTTTGGGCAGTTCATTTTTCCAGGTAGTTCAGGGAAAAGTAAAAGTTCTATTGAGCTTTCAGGGCTTTGATTGACCTCAGATGGACATAACCTACATGACAAAATGACCCACCCTGGGTGGCCTGTTCTGAACATCCGAGGGCTAGACAGGCCTTCATGAACAATGGCAAAAAGTCAGCAGCATAACAAAAATCAGTGATCTTTGCTCAGATGCCCAAGTAGGGTCCCTTTGCCAATCCTGGTCAGGCTGCTTAGATCACTGGGGATCACTGGCGGCTGGCTAATACATGCTGGTCTTACCTTGGGCAACAGTAGTCACTCAGCTCTGTGCTGTGTGTGTCATCCGCTAGGACCACACAGGGCAGGACAGAGCCTGCTTATGGCAACATGAGAGTAAGAGATGTAAGGCAGGGCAGCCATAGTTGAAGCCTTTCCTTGAATGTTATGTACTAACCACCAGAGCAAAACTTAGAGCTAAATAGTAGGACCGAGAAGAGGAACTCACTGCAAAACTGCATGGCAAGGCATGATATAAAGTGTGGAGAACTTTAAGTGACCTACCTATTATAATCCCCAAGTGTGGAAGATCTGGCTCAGGCTCTTTTAAATATTAATTTATTTCTATATAGTTTACATCATTGCTCATTTAAAATAATGTTACTTTCCCTCCCACCTGTACCCCCCCATAAGTGAAACCTTCCCTTCTTTTCATCCAGTGGAGAAATTTAATATATGTTCTTGATAAAGGGAAATGAGGAAGTGACTAGTGTTAATTCTATTATATTTTTCAAGGTACTAACAGTACTTTGTTTTTCAAAATAGTGGGTTAAACTCTCTAGCTCTCTCTAGGTCAGGCAACAGTAAAAATTCATCCGAACCCTGATGGTTTGCTATTTTTTATTTTCCTTCTGACTCATTTTCCTGAGCATAATCTCTTCAGCTCCATCCATGTTACTGTGAATGTCCTGAGTTTATCTTTGTTCATTGCTGAGTAGTATTCCTTTGTGTATATATACAGCCCATCTTCCTGATCCAAGCTTCTATTTTGGGGCACTTGGGTTGTTTCCAGGTTTTACCCATTTGCTCAGGGTTTTCTCCTGCAATTTTCAGATCACCAGGTCCCACCAATTTGTAGAGCTCTTGTCACTCTTCTCTTAACCTTCCTGCTGCCAGCCTTATAAGCTATCAGGGTTCTGATGAATTTTTACCATAGCCTGATCTAACTAGAGATAGTTTAGCCTACTATTTTGAAAAACAAAATATAATTAGTACCTTACAAATCGAATAGAATTAACACTAGTCATTTCCTCATTTGCCTTTATCAAGAACATGTATTAAATTTCTCCACTGGATGAAAAGAAGCGATTCTTTTCTCATTTCTTTCCACATATATATA